GAGAAGACACCAGTGGGAAGGGAGCTCCTGGCCTTGCCGAGGTGCGGTGGGAGATGACTGATGCGCTGGCTTCGCTGCCCCCTGCTTCTGGGGCCCAGGCTCTGACTGCCTTCACTGTGGTTTCTCCTCCTTTCTTGGCAGCGCTTGAGGCGTTTGGTTTCCTTGGATAATTTGTCTTTCTGCTTGGAGCAGTGATTTGGTGGCTTTGTTACAGTAGGGAATTTGCAGCTTCAGGAACCTGGCTTTCTAAGGATAAGGCAGCGTGTTTGTGTTTTTAGACAGTGGCTTCAGCATGTTTTGGGAAGGAGTTGAGAGAGCAGAAAAGGATTATGTAGGTTACGTTACACAGAGGGGTAGCTTATAGACCTTTCCCGAGACTGATGGATTGTGAACTGATCCGTGGTATGTTGGTGGTGAGATGAGCTGGCAAAACGGGAAGGTAACGCAGTGGTCCGTGTAACACAGAGCGAAGAAAATGCCAAGGAAATTTGGAGGAATTCACTAAACTAAGTGACATTCAAGATGTTGCAAATGAGTTGCACAAAGCCTCTCACATATTTGGGGTAGACGGAGGAAGATAACCTTACAACTGCTGTTGTCATCTATGGCCACGTTACAGAAGTGCCCGGAGAAAGCTTTGTCTCTTCAAAGAGAAGAGGGCCCCCCCCCCCAGCTCTCATCAGCCTTATGACACTTGTGACAAACCTACCTTGACAGGCGAGGGAGTCGGCAAGTGTCCTTTGGCCCCTCTGACCTCGTATAGAATCACACATCAGAAAGTATTAAATTGCATCACGTATCCTTGAGCGAAAGAGGAGGGTTTTTTCTAACCTTTTGGCCATTGTGCAATTGTTGGAAGAAATGCGTTGAGCTTCTCCCATGTGTTGCTGAGTACTAAATTGAGTGTAACTTGGCAAGTGGAAGAAAGGCCTTGGTGCTATCACAGGCAGCTCGGGCTGCATGGGTCAGTGGGTGGCAGAAGGAGGCTGAACTCATTTTTATTAAAAGAGGGGGAGAGATACTGCTGCTACAGAAATCCATTACGCTCCCTGTGAATGCTGTGCTCACATTTTGAGGGTGTGGGGGAACAAGAATGGAAAGCGTGCGGAAGTAATTAATGTCTAGAAGGAGACTGCGTCAAAGTGGGGACAAAGGTGTCGGAAAAGGGAGCAGACTGATTCCTGGTAATAGTGCAGCAAAGGGTAGATGGCTTGCTTCTGTTTAGCTTCTGGGACTACAGGAACACCAGAAGACGAAGGCAGCCCCTCCTGGGAAAGGGAGTGCTGGGATTCAAGGTGCGTGATTAACCTTGGGGAGGTGCTGGCAGCAGCCAGATGTGGAGGCGGAGGTTTGCGGGCTCGGTGCCATGCCTGCTGTGCTGCTGAGGCAGGGCCCGTTACAGCCGTGCTTGCACTCCGGCCGGGGCCTGTGGGACTACAGGAACACCAGAAGACGAAGGCAGCCCCTCCTGGGAAAGGGAGTGCTGGGATTCAAGGTGCGTGATTAACCTTGGGGAGGTGCTGGCAGCAGCCAGATGTGGAGGCGGAGGTTTGCGGGCTCGGTGCCATGCCTGCTGTGCTGCTGAGGCAGGGCCCGTTACAGCCGTGCTTGCACTCCGGCCGGGGCCTGCGGGGGCTGGCGCGGTCCCCCTGCGCCAGGGGAGGCTGGGGGCACCTCCAGGTCCCTGAGAACGGAGGCAGTTCCCTCGCCAAGCGAAGCAGCTGCTAACTGCGGGGAGCATCAGTAGCCGATTGTGGTTTGATCGTTGCACTTCAGCTCTTTCCTGTTGGTGACGAAATCAGCAGCTTTGTGTAGGTGCTGCTTTCGGTCTCTGAAAACGCAGAGAGGCAGAGTGCTTGGCCGCAGAGTCAGCGTTTGTCTTGGACCTTGTCCATGGTGGTTCAGAGGCACGAGGGCTTTTCATGAGCTTGGAGAGCGGGATGTTGGGTTGCTGGGTGTGAAGGGGCTGTAAGAGCTCTGCTGGCAGCCCACTCTGCTTTGTGCCGGTGCACAGCACCCGCTTGCTGTTGCACTGTTGTTCTTCTGCAAGAAATTTTGCCGGTACCTTACGGCTGTCACTCAAGGCACCCCGTGTTCAGTCTGTGCCTATCAACTCTGCGACCTGCTGGGCTCTTCTTCCTCACAGCTCCCCTTATCTGTTCTGTCCCTCAGTCCAGGCTCCCTCTCCCTGCTGTGCCAAACAGGATTGGAAGCTCTGTCTCTGGAGTTGGGGCTGCCTGCTGTCAGAAAACACTGTCATCCTTTCTCCCATCCCCAGAGACTGCTCTCTGATGAACAGCATGACTTAGTCCTGGAATTAACTGCTTAGGAAGAGCCAGAAAATGCTTGCAACAGCAGGAGGCACTAGCTGAGACGAGGCCTGGGAAAGCCCCAGATAAAACCTTTAGGCTTCTGAGGGGGTGGGTGCCCTGCCAGTCATGTGGGCAAGACTTCAGAAGGGCAGAGGGATGAACAGGACCCTCTGGAGTGCCCAGAAGTGCTTCTGGGCAAAGACAGTGGGTCTCAGTGACTGGAAGGTGCTTTTTTTTTTTGTGGAGGAAAGCTGTTTTGCCCAGGTAGAGTGAGGGGTGCTGCTTGTTTCCTAGCAATGCCCCTTGCAACGTGAGCTACAGGTTAGGGGTCTGGAGGTAAGTCCGTCCCTTGCCTCCAACCTGGTGTCTGACCACAGGGCATGCACAGGGCTTTCCTACTGGGATGGTGTCACATTGATGGTGGGTGGCGGGAGTGGAGAACCTGCCCTTCTGTCAAGGCTCTTGTAGGATGAGCAGGTCCTTACCAAAGCCTCCCGGGGAGTGACTCTTCCCCCAGTTGAGTTGCAAGAATATTGAGGCAGGAGGTAGGTGAGGCAACCTGGCAGGGTGTCTGAGTCAGAGCTGGAAATAGATTCCAGGACTCCCAATGCTTCATCTTCCTCTGACCACAAAGCCACCTTTCTCCATGCCTTCCATCTTGGGGGGGGTTTGCAGGTCTTGCTCAGCACAGCGCGGAGGTGATGGAGCCAAGGTGGGAATCTGGGTGATTGCTAATGTCCAGGCTGTTTGCTCAGCCAGTTCTCCCTCAGGAAGCACCTGGGGAGCTGCCCTCTGTCTCCTCCCAGCTTGCTCACATTAGAGAAGTGGTTTTTGGCATCTCAGCAAGTAGACCACAGCAAGGCTTCTTCTCTCAGGAGCCACACGTTGGTGGCAGATGCAGCCAGGCTGCGCAGAAAGGGTAGAGGCAAAGTGCAGGCAAGTTAACCCCTTTGCTGCCTGCTCTCATCTCTGATCCAGTCGAGGCAGCTCTCGGTCCCAGACGTGTTCGCAGGCAGGGCTGGAGGCAGCTCCACCAATGAAGTGCACATGGCTGCTTTGGTGCTTAGCGAGGTGCCGGCACCCAGCCAGCCTTTCCCACTGCTGTGCCTGGGCCCTTCCCGGTGTCTGTCTCCAGTGCCATGGCTGACTGACGGTCTGGGAGTCTCTTTGGTTCACTCTCTTTACCTCCTTTCTCCAGGGGTGAAAGATGGAAGCTGGACTGTGCTGCAGCTCGTGGAAGCCCTGGGGTAAGAAAAGCCTTATACGTGTTACACATCATGTAAGGGCCTTGCAGCGGAGATTCCCACAAGGAGGGACAGTGAGAAGGAAAAGTCCAGGACAAGCTGGCTTCATCACTGGCAGACACACTGCAACACGCAGGCCTGCAGGGATGTTTTCTGCTCACAGCACAGGACCTGAGCAGTGCTTTGCCATTGCAGGACTTGGGAGCTGTTTGGGAAAGAGCAAGGCCAGAGCAGCTCTTGATGCTCTCCCAGGACCAAGGAGGGGTGTTGTGGCAAGGCACTTCTCAGTTGGGACTGTCCCCAGCAGGAGCTACCTGAGCACACAGCTGTATATCACCATGTCACCAGTTGTCTGGCACTCAGCTTTTGCTCAGCTGTTGTGGCCTGGGACTTGGGGAGGCTTGTTTCTCCCAAAACAGGGGATGGGTTTGCCTCATTGTAAGAGGCTTTGCCCTTTTTTGGCCCTTGTGGTCTTGGGAGCCTGAGTTTCAGGTGCAGAGCATGGTGCAAGAGCAGTTTCTTTGGTCCAACTTGAGAACTTGGATTTAGCGCTGCATGGCTCTGGGGCCGGGTGCATGCGTGCAGCACAGTCAGGTGAAGAGGAGTCTGCTCCCACCCTGCCAACAAGTCAGGCAGGATTGGGCCACCACCCCCCTGCCCAGAGAGCGGTACCTCTATTTTTATAATGTGTCTGCTCAGGATGTGCTTCCTGCTTGGGTGTCCCTGCTCACAACAGGCTCCTTGGTCTTTCTTCCGACTTGGGCTAGGTCTTGCCTGGAGAACACGGATACTCGGACACGAGGGCGAGGCATCCAGCTGCTGTCACAAGTCCTACTCCAGTGTTACTCCCTGCTCCAGGAGAAGGAAGGTAAGGGCTACTCTTGGCCCTAGAGTGGCTGCTGGCAGGTTGGGGGCAAAGCCTGTGCCGCTTGAGTGTCTGTCCTGCAGTTGGCAAAGGGGTCAATCTAGCACCATGACAACTTTGTACATGTCTCTCAAGGCTCAAGGTCCAAGGAGGGCACGGGGCCTCACGCTGCAGCCTTTTTGCCAACCTCACCACACAATTCAGGTCACTCCCTGAACACGCCAAAGCCCTGGGCTGCAGCCGGTGCCCCTGGCAGTGTGTGGGCGTTGCACACCCAGGCGTGCTCAGTGCCACGTGGGATGCCTTAGGAACACATCTGCATGTCAACATCCTCGGGTGGTGATTCAGTGCAGGAAAACCATCGAGTCACACCGCAGCCCTGTGGCCTGCCCAAGTTAACTCTGGGGGAACCCTGGGGGAACCCTGGGGAGGCAGGGGGATCAGCATAAGGATGGAGTGGAGGGCTGCAGTGGGGAGAGGAAGATGCCCCGTTCAGGGAGGCAAGGAGAAGGTTTGACTGTGTTAAAAGTCCCATAGCAACTGGCTGGCAGCAGGGGAAGCCAGTAAGCGCTGCAAACTTTGGCTTGGACTGGAGGCCCTGCTGATGGGTAGCTGAACCTGTGCCAGCAGGCTGGCAAGGCAGGGGGGCCCAGCTAGTGAGGGTGGGGGAAGGGAAGGATGGAAGTAAAAGGTGCTTAGTCCTTGGCCTTTGGCTCTCTGTAAGTCTCAGACTAGGCCAGGCAGGGCCAAGAGCAGCTGTGCAGAGAGGGTACAGACAGGCTAGCTACTGGTGTAGCTGGAGTCAGGTGTGGGGACTGGGGTGCTCTGGAGAGGCAGCCAGAGGTGGGGAGGTTCAGTGGGGATGCCTGGCAGAGTCAGGGCAGCTGAGCAAGGGGACCAAGCTGGGTTAGAGCCATGTCACCAGGAGCTTTGGAGGAGGGTGGGCAGAGCCAGCTCCCGGGCGGGGTGCAGGTGGCTGCTGTGACACCCCCAGCTGGCCCCATCTCCCTTCGTGTCCCTCCTCACGCAGTTCATTTCTCAAGCGCTACGTCAGGCTGCCTCCTGGGGGGGTGAGTTTCTGCAGCAGCTGTGGGCACAGGATGCTGCTAGCCAGCTCTTCCAGTCTGCTTCCTGCTGCCGCTCCCCAGGGCCGGGGTGTGCAGGCGCCCGTGGCTGTGACTCAGGGGCTGGGAACGTGTTGTGGAGCCGAGCACAGGGAAGCCGGAGCTCCTGCTCCAGCCCTGCGCCCCACCCCACGGCATCCTCCAGCCTCTGCTGAGCAGGCAGCCGCTGTTTGCCTGCTGGTGTCTGCACCCACGTGTCTGGACAGGCCAGGGCAAATGCCTCTCGGGTAGCTCCAGCACCTCTGCAGCGCCCAGAGGTGGGTGCTGCCCCGCTGCGGTCAGACATGGGTTGCTGACAGGGGCAGGGCGAAGGCGCTGGGGCCAGGTGGGTGGACCTGACAGTGGCAGTTCGTCCTGATCACCAGCGGGAGTTGTGCTCGCTCTTCATCCAGCACCTGCTTTTGGCAGAGCTGGAGCTGGTGCCCGGCACCTGCATTTCCTGGGGACTAACACATGTTGGTGTCTGCTTCTGACAGTGCTGCACCTGGTCCTGTTCTATGAGAGCCGGCAAGGCGCTGGGGCCAGGTGGGTGGACCTGACAGTGGCAGTTCGTCCTGATCACCAGCGGGAGTTGTGCTCGCTCTTCATCCAGCACCTGCTTTTGGCAGAGCTGGAGCTGGTGCCCGGCACCTGCATTTCCTGGGGACTAACACATGTTGGTGTCTGCTTCTGACAGTGCTGCACCTGGTCCTGTTCTATGAGAGCCGGCTGCAAGATCATCACCTTGTGATCCCTGCTGTGCTCCAGGGACTCCGAGCACTGGTGAGCTTTCATCCCCCAGCCCGCAGCACTGGGATATACTCCAGAACAGTCCTGGGGAGCAGGGGGTGCGACACGGCTGCAGGATGGAGCAGCATGTTGAGAAGGGCCCGGCTGGGCTGTCTGCTCCAGCCTGGCAGCATTGCCCTGTCTCCTCCCTGCTCCTGCTGTGCCCCTTGCAGAGTGTCAGGGGAGAGGAGACTGCCTTGATTGCCTGCCCCGTGCTGGTATGGGGGAAAGGATTCCCTGGCCACTCTGGGGAGCAGCAGAGATGATAGACATCTTGTCCTGTCCTGTCTGTGGGGATGGTGAGCTCTCCCTGGCATAGGAGAGGATCCTGCAGGTGGCTGCTTTACAGAAGTGAGAGCTCTGTTGTATGGTTGCCATCATGGTTTTCTGTTCTCACTTTTCTTTTCCTGTCCCCAGAGCATGTGTGAGGTGCTGTCCCCAGGGCTAGCAGTGTCTGTGCTCAAAGCCATCTTCCAGGAGGTACATGTGCAGGTGAGTGATGTGATTTCCCATCCTCCTGTCCCTGCTCCCCTCTCCCTGGGTGTCAGGGGATGGCCTGACTGAGCACATTCAGTGGCAGTGCAATGTAGCGCATCCTTCGTCGCAGTGCGGTGCTCCTGCAGAGCTTAGAGACAGTATGTCTCGCTGCAGAGCGAGAGGCAGACAGCAGCTGAGGATCCTGTTTGGCCCTTCCCTTCTTTCAGCCCTGTGAGGGTTACTGCCTTTGCTCTGTTCTCCAGGCTGTGTTTTGAGTGCCCTCAGCACCCAAATTCTCCTTGTTTACAGTCGTTTACACTGGCAGAGCCTTGGGCAGTGTGTGTGGCCCTGGTGTGTGTGGCCCTGGCCATTCATGCAGTGATGGACGCTGCCATGTTCAGGTGCCATTGCATAGGCACGTGCACGCTTTGCGTGTGGTAAATGGGATCTTCGTGCCAGGAAGCAGCAGCTGAGCTGCTGAGGGTCCTGCCCTCTTCTCAAGGGCATGTGCTGCCCTTGGGTGGTGAGTAGTAATGCTGCCGTGTGTGGAAGCTTATTTGGATTGCTCTGCTCCTCCCTCCAGTCCCTGCTGCAGCTGGACCGCCACACAGTCTACAGCATTATCACCAACTTCATGGGCACCAGGGAGGAAGGTGAGAGGGCAGGTGCCAGAACCACTCTGGTGTTGTCCAGGCTGGGAAAACAACTCGCCTTCACCTTTTCTGAAGGCTTCATTGCTCTGCCTGGGGAGAGCTGGAAGGGCTGTGGGGCTTGCGAAACTGGGCTTGTTTCATGCCATGTTGGTGAAGTCTGGTGTTCTGCATATCTGCTCACCTCCTTTCTGCAGAGCTGAAGGGCCTGGGTGCCGACTTCACCTTCGGCTTCATCCAGGTGATGGATGGGGAAAAGGATCCCCGCAACCTGCTGGTGGCCTTCCAGATCGTGCGTGATCTTATTGCCAAGAACTACACCCTGGGTGAGCCCCGTTCCCGCCGTGCAGAGCTGACCAGGGCACATGTTGCATTTCTTTGAGCTGTTGGAGGGATGGCCTTTGAGTCTGACCAGGGCTGGGGTTGTACCTGACACACTTTAAGAGCTGCAGAGCCAGCCTGTCATGGTGTCCCAGCTGAAACCAGGACACATGGGTGCTAGGCTTAGCTGCTGTGCCTCTTTTGCCCAGCGTCTCTGCTCACGTGCCCTGTCCTTTCCTTTCAGGTCCCTTTGTGGAGGAGCTGTTTGAAGTGACGTCCTGCTACTTCCCCATTGATTTTACTCCAGTGAGTGAGTCTGCCCTGCACCACAGCCTGTTCCTTCTGGTGTTTTTCAGGGGGTTGTGTCCCCTCCAGGGGATGGGAGGGGCGGGTGGGCAAGAGTCTTGGCAGGGCAGTGTTTAGCTGTGAGCTGTGGTACCCAGGCTGACAGGACAGTGCCAAGCTGGCTGCAGTGACTGGCATCACTGCTGCCTTGCTGGAGACGAGGTGATGCAGCCTTGGCTGATGGCTGGCTTGGGAGGTTTCCTGACTGGTGACCGGCTCGCTCTGCTTCCCTTCCAGCCCCCCAATGACCCTCATGGCATCCAGAGAGAAGACCTGATCCTGAGCCTCCGGGCCGTACTGGCCTCCACACCCCAATTTGCTGAGGTAGGAAGCTCCTAGGGGCTTCTTGAGCAGAGCACCCCACTGTTCCCTGAGAACAGACTGCATTTCATAGCGCTGCAGCTCCCACTATGGCTCTGTGGAGAGGGAATAACTGGGACCAGAAGCCTGCACTAGGGCAGCCCTGTCTCCTGCTGGGGCTGGGCATGGGGAGGGTGCTGACGCTGACAGCCTGGGAGGGGGCTGCCCGTTGCAGGTATCCCTCTGCCTCTGCTCTCCTGACAGAGGCTGAGCTTGCAGCCCTGCAGGGCCATGGACAAGGGGGTGCAAAGGCTGGGCTGAGTCTGTGTCACTCTCTCTGCAGTTCCTGCTCCCTCTGCTCATTGAGAAGATGGACTCAGACCTGCAAAGTGCCAAGCTTGACTCCCTGCAGACTCTGGTAAGGAGGGATGCCCTACTCCCTTCAGGCCACAGCTGGCCTGTGGCAGCAGTAGCCAGCCTCCTCTGAGCCCTTCTCCCTGCCAGCCAGAGACTCTCCCTTGCAGAGCCATGATTTCCAGGGTCCTAGTTTGGCCTGCATCACATCTTCTTCCTCGAGTGATTCGTGCAGTTCAGCATGGGCCTGCCAGGATGGGTAGTGTCCCTGCTCTGTCTTCCCAATACTGGCTTCTCTCTGATGCTTTCTCCTGGTCCCCTCTTGCAGACTGCCTGCTGTGCCATCTACGGGCAGAAGGAGCTGCAGGAATTCCTCCCCAGCCTCTGGTCATCCCTGCGCAGGGACGTGAGTACTGCAGGGCCCCTAACGAATACTCCACCACAGTTGGGCTCCTGCTGAGCAGGAGTTCACAGCCAGACCATGCAGGCCCCATATCTCCCAGAAGCCCCCCACTGTGGCCTGGGAAAGCTAGGGGGGATAGGCCAGCCCTATCACCATGTCCCAGGGGCTTGGATGTGCCACACTGCATGTTGAAAGCACGTGGGAAATGAGGTGGGAGCCTGAGCCCTTCAGCCTGCGGCTGGGGTCAGCACAGAGCTTAGCTCATCAGACGGCTTCTCCTGCAGGTGTTCCAGACAGCGAGTGAGAAGGTCGAGACGGAGTGCCTGGCCGCACTGCATGCCCTCTCTGCCTGCCTCTCCCGCTCCGTGCTCAGCTCTGACACCGAGGATCTGCTGGATTCCTTCCTCAGCAGCGTCCTGCAAGGTAGCTAGCAGAAACACCTACCCTGCCCCGAGCAGCCAGGCCTGCAAGCACGCTCCTAGCTAAAGATCTGCCCTCCTGTTCTCTTTGAAGCCTCTTTTGCTAGTTCTCACAGCCCCTGTTGGCTTCTCCAAGGGAATGGGCTGCAGGAAAGGAGAAGGGGGCACAGTAGGAAATGTCTGTTGGATTGAGTTGCTTCACTCTCTGCTGGGACTGGGACATCCAAGGCCGTGCTGTGCCCTTGGAGCGAGGGGAAGCAGCTGTTAGGGGGGCTGTTCAGCAGCTCGGAGCCGCACCCCAAGCAGCACGTCCCAGCCCAGATACCAGCTGCGTCCCCGCGTGCGAGGCAGAGGAGCTCTGCCGGTGCAGCTGACGCCCAGCCTATCTCAGATTGCAGGCACCATCTGTGCGAGCCCGACATGAAGCTGGTGTGGCCAAGTGCCAAACTCCTGCAGGCAGCAGCGGGTGCCTCCCTTCGTGCGTACCACCACGTCACCCGCAGCGTCCTGCCCCTGCTGCTGGAGCAGTACACCAAGCACCCGCAGGTGAGGGGCACCCCAGGCTCGGTGTCACAGGCAGCAGGGCTGAGTGCACCCACTGGTTCTGCAGGACTTGGTGGGAGCTGGTTGTCAAAGTGGGTGTCCTTGGCTGCGAGTGGGGACCCCGTGGGCACCCTCTGGCCTCGCAGCGCTGGGCTGAGGCATAGCTGTGTCCCAGCAGTGACGGTGATCTGGGTTACACCTTTGTCTCCCTGCAGAGCAGCCAGAGGAGGACAATCTTGGAAATGCTGCTGGGCTTCCTGGAGTTGCAGCAGAAGTGGGGACATGTGGAAGAAGGTGAGGCTGGTTGGTCCCTCTGGAGGCACCCGTGTCTCAGGGGGCTGCTGGCTCTGACCTTGCCTTCCCATATGCCAACAGAGAAGGAAAGCTCCCTGACCTGGGCGGCTGCATGTGCAACCCCCTGCCATGTCCCAGGGACCCTGCATGGTTGGGTGTCAACCAGCAGGACCCCAGAAAGGGTCTGTCAAGGTGCCATGGCAGTGGCTGTGTGGTGACAGCCAGGCACAGGCAGTGACTCCGTGCCTCTCTCTCCAGACGAGAGCACTCTGCTGTCGCTCCGAGCCCCAGTTTGCTCTGTCGTGTTCTCTGCGCTGACGGATCCCAGTGTGCAGCTGCAGCTCGTTGGGATCAGGGCACTGACTGTCCTGGGCTCCCTGCAAGGTTGGTGCCACATTTCGCTTGGGGAGGCAGAGGGAGGCATCACCCTGTTCTGGGAGACACGGTGCCACGTGGCTGCCAGGACATCCTTGCCTGCTGCCCATAGGTGCACAGGAGCACTGGCAGCACTTTCTACCCAGGCCATGAGCTCCAGGGACACTCGGGCTCTCTCTTTTTTTTTTTTTTGCCTGTTTGTGCCAGGCACCTTGTATCTCTGGCGTTTGGCATGCTGCTGCATTGATGCTCGCCTGGGTGAGGGGGAAGGATGCTGGCCAGAACACCAGCATCTTTGGCTGAGGGCAAGATTCCTCTATGGCTCTTGTTCCAGGCTTCCTGGCTCCCTCTGACCTGGAGCTGGTTGTGGATCACCTCATCCGTCTTGCTCTGCGTGAGGAGGATTCCCAGAGCAGGTAAGGGACGAGCTGGTGCCGCTGCAGTTGCCCACACTGGGGAGTGGAAGAAAGCCTGGCTTTGCTGCAGAGAGGGGCTGTAGTCTGGGGGAGGGCACAGGAACTATCTGAACTGAAAGACCGCATGGGTGTAAGAGCAAAGGGATAAACCAGGCAGTTTATGGGCTGGAAATTAGGAAGTCTGGGCCTGTTAAAGCAGGGGACTCTGCCCTGCCTGCCAGTAGGGTGAAAAAGGCAGAGCTGACAAAGGGGTTTCTGGAGGCACCTTCTGGCCCAGATTTGTGCAGCTGGTGTACAAGCAGTGCCGGGTTTGCAGTGCTCACATCACCCCT